GAGAGAGAGAGAGAGAATGTGTGAAGGGAGTGTGGCTTTGGCTGCGTTCACACAACATGGTTCCTTCCGCAGGGTTGTGCGGATATGTGGCCGTGTTTATTTATGACATCATAAAATATGACCAAAAAAAACCCTCACGAGTAGCTAACAGAAAGAAAAGACATTTGGTACAGCCCTACCTCATAGCATTACAAAATAAAATTTGATAGAATTAGTTTGATAATAATTAGATTTTTAGTGTGTTTGCCTCATTAATAATTAACAATAGCTTTGGGTTAGGTAGTGAACCATGATCATTAATATAAATATGAAATAAGACGGGACCTTGTGAAACATCATTGTATAGCCACTGGTATTCTGTAAGTGGTCTGAGAATCCATTAAAATACAATGTAATAGTATGTTATGACTGACGCATATCAGTCTATAATATCAAGGCCTTAGATAGACTAAGTGACAAATATAAAGACAGTACATTTCATAGCAATCTTTGAACTGTCCACTTGTAATAGAACGTTGTCTTTCATACTGTTGATACGATGCATTTATGGTCCCTCTGTCTTTTTCTCTTGCTGTCTTGTAGGTCGATGCTAGCAGCTCTGGTCGTATTAATCATGATAGCCATTTCCAACTACAGCGCTTTGTTCTTCTGTTGCTTTGCCACGGATTACTACGGACTCTGGTTACAGTCGTACCATCGCAAAGACCTAGGCTGTCTCTATATACTGGTACGGCAGAGTGTGTGTGGACAGATGGGTTTATTCAGTACACTGCTGATGGCAAAAGTCTTTTTTTTTAAAAACACACTGTCCCCTGTGGGTGATGTCATCTTTGTGCTCATGCTGATATGTTTAGGTCCAGAATGGTTTGGCTCTCTACACCACATGGACATCCATCGCCTCACTGATCAATTTCTCAGTGGTTCTCCACCTGTGGGGTGTGGACAAGAGCACAGCAGCAACAGCCTCTCTGTGCATCCTGTTTGGAGAGGTGATGGGATGGTAAGCTATGATTGGACAAGGTTAAATGATGCTAGTAGAGACACACTCACCATGTGATACTAGCATATTTCCATTTTTTTTTGTTTTCTGACGATGAATGCAGTTATCATTTAAAGGTGTAGTTGCAACCCCCATGTCTCACCCTCCCTTCCAAAGTGTGTAGGACAAACTATGGTGGCCAAGACACTTGTGAAAAACATGAAACCCCCTATCTAGAGCCAGTATGTGGTTTGTCCGTTCTGGGCTACTGTAGGATAAAAACGGCTCATTCTAAGGTGATGATTGCTTTGTCTTTGTGTGCAGGTTCATCCTTGAGAACTGGGTGCTGGACCGTTGGGTGCGTAACATCCTCACAGTCTACCCTGTGGTGATTGTGGCCCTGGTCGGAAACATCTTGAAACATTTTAACCGAGCTGATCCCACTACGAATTCTGTGTTTATGGGTGAGTGTAACATGCTGGTAACACCAGTCCTGCTCCTATCTTTATAGCCTAACAAGCTCACCAAGTGACTGGTTTTCATCTGACATTTCTGGTGAATGTAGGAATCCTTTCTGTTCTCAAGAGCTTTCCATTTTAAAACTGTGAGTTCTGGTGGTTAATCAGGTAATTTACTGTTGCATTTCTCTCTTCTTCCTCTTCTTCTGTGTCCTATCAGTTGTACTGCTGGTGTTAGCGTGTGTCCTGCTGTTTTTCCGAATCTGTACCGTCATCTGGAGAAACATCAGGCGGCCTCTCCACTCCCCAGGCTCAGCGCGGCTGATGGTATCACCCCTCGACGGCAGCAAATTCAAGATCTTTTATTAAACAATAGGAACTTGTACAGTCCTGTACCCACTGCAGCCTTTTTAACTTTCAGCCCCAGACTCACACTTATATACACTTTCACACAAGACACTGCAGTGCTCAAGGATAGATTTTAATATGAAATGTTATGCTTTTGAGGTTGTTTAACTAGTCATGGATTTGAAACTGTATTTCTTTCAATAGGATGTTTAAGATTAGCTTGAAAAAGAAAGAGACGGTGTACTAAACTGCTACTGTTTTCACTATTTGCCAATAATATTGTTTATATGTAAAGTACTTTTTATACAGATTAATTTGTGTGATTTGAAGTTTTTTCATCATTTTTGGGCTTTTTTTTATTTTATATCCATACACTGACAATAGATACACTGTCAATATATGTTTTATGCTTTTGACTACAATTTGAGTACACAAACAATCATTTTCTAAAAGTACTTAAGAGCTTTGTTAAATTCATTCAGATTTTCCAATTAAAGCAGTCTTTTTCATGTCTAAGGCAGTTTCTTGAATATATGTACAGTCAACTGCAGAAAAATTGTATTCCGTTGGTATATACCGTAGGGGATGTGTTTCCACACCATTAAACAAATCTGTTACATGGAGATCGTGTTCAAAGACCCCACACATAAAGACAGTCTGAAAGAAGCGTATATGAAGGATAAGCAGTAAATGCAGAGGTGCTGGCACTAATGGATCAGCACCGTCCCTTGGTGAGTGGTGACTTCTGGAGAGGTCATGTCCTACTGCTTGCACCTCACAAAGATTTAAAGTACAGTTTCCCTCATCACAGCAGCTGTAAAAATGTGTTTTAAGTGTGAAATTAAAAAAAAATTCAGTATGCTAAAGGGCACAGAAAACGACTGGTAGGAGCCAAAGACAACATACTTTGACTACACAACAAAGGGTACATTGCTGCTCCTCCAGTCTTTCCCTTTTTTCTGGGATCTCAGAGAGCAGCTACGGTAGATAGAAGGTAGGTAGAAGAAGAAGATATACTTTATTAACCTGAGGGGAAATTGTTGTTATCACTCTTTTTACACACACAGGCTGAAATAAAACACTTTCCATGCACTTGTGCGACATGCGACACACAGGGGAGAGAGTTGATGTGGTACCAATATCGTAGTCTCTCGGAGGCTGGCATCTAGTTAGAAAGTTTCTGATCGTTGGAGAGCTGCACGTAGTTACTCACCGGTAACTCTGTGGGACCTTTATCTTTCTCTCCTAATATAACAATTTTCACTTAAAAGCGACAGTTCATCAAAGTCATCTGCTGACTTAAAATTACGTATCGGGCGATAGCATCTCATGGCTCAATAGAGAGCTGTGACTTCTCTGCTCAGCCTGGCTAAGTTGCTGAAGAGGCACGTAAGGTTGCTTTCTTATTTTCTTTCTATTAAGTGATGAAGTATAGGGCTCCTCTGGCAGTTACGGAAGGGCCTTTCTACAATAGATTTTAAGATCATTCAAGATCAAGGCGACACCCAGTAGATGTTCAGCGCCGGCATCCTCCTTTCTGATTTCACGTCCTTGTTTTTCTTGCTTTAAATTGGCCGACGTATTGATGGTTGTACAGACGGTCCGCTGACGTTTCGCTATCGTTTTATTATGTACTTCTGTTTTCTCATAGGAGCGAAGATAGAATCTAAGTGTTGGACTCCGCAGAGAGCCTGCAGCAACCTACTTAAAAAAGATTGATCAACATTTGCGGCAGTGACTAAGATGTACTATAGGATCTGTTACCTAGTTCAGACAGTGGCATTTGGATCTGAAAACATGAAGGAATTCCTCCTAAAATTCACGCATACAGGCTACACAGACTTGATGTCACACAGTTCCGAGTCAGAGGCTTGTTGTGTTCAGTAATTGATATGTGGCAAATGCATATTTACAGTATTCCTGTCCATGGCACTGACTCACAGGTTTAGTTTATTTAAACCTCTCAGAGCGGCCAAGCGGATACGACGGCGTGGATACGCATGCCACAGGGTTTAATGTTCATTCCAACACTCGGTTGTTCTATCAGACGAGGTGCCTGAGAACTGTAAGATTTGGCAGCCACCATGGGAGAGTCACGCCTTGTGGCGGTACCTGATGACCTGATCTGGCTTGTTTTGTTCAGCCTTATACACAGCAGGGATTGCCAAATGGACACAGTGTCATTCAGTCATCTGCTGTATGTCGTCCTGACAGACAACGGTCAAAAATTTAAAGACTAGGTGCAACTGGTATCACAATTACAGAGTGAGGTAATCCTGGGCATACTAATCACTCCAGAGGGTCAGGAGCAATTTACTCAGACCACATTCAACCACGTGGTCTGGTCCAAAACCAACTAAACGAATACGCAACCGGACAAAAACTAATGAAGGTCATTCTTAGGTTTACGTAGGCTCACTTGCCGTCATGAGTGTCAGAATTCTTTGTGGGACGGATCTCTCAAAGACCCCCCATCGTATGACACATGAGACTCGGCAGGAACAACTCTGGCCATACGGTGATGGAGCTGTGTGACTTGGACTTCTGACGGCCAACGAAACAGCCTTCACTCGGACTTAAAACCAAGCTTGTATCTAACTCCCTGTTCTACGGAGCTGCCAGACGCTAAAAAACCTTCTTCCTTCTTTGGTTTCTGAGCGGGATGATTTATGGTCAGCAGGCGTCCGGCGGCTACCTCCAGCGCCCCATGGCGGAAGACACACCCGACCAGTATTATGTTATTCAACAAAGCTGTCATTCTACTAGAGAGGCGCTGTGGTAAGGACATTCTAAAGAGATGTACGCAGCGCTACGGAACAGTGTTTTTAGCCAACAGCTGACATTGTCTGGCTATGTCACCCGTAGGATGTTCGATTCGTTCCGCATAGCTGTCCCATTAGCATTCTCAGTACGTCATAACAGCTAAAAACATGCACATCCTGACACTCCAGTGAACGCAATACTGCATTGGCAGAACGAATTCTACTGACTTATAGCCCCTTGATTACTGCTAAAAGGCGTCGTGTGAATCGTACCTTCAACTCTGTTCTACCTTACTGCCCTTGCAGCTGAATGATGGCACAGACCACAGTGCGTGTCTGGACGGTGAGCGAACAGTCAACAGACACGACCGGTGATGCCGCGTTGTTCGACACGTCACTCTGCTAACCTCTTGATCTGTTTTCTTTGTAGCAATGAGCTTCTGGGCATCGGCGACGGACATTCCATCTCTGAATGGACTTCAACTCGTGGTGTACCTATGCTGATCGTCGAATGAAACATGCAGACTGTGTGAAAGTGATAGAGTAGCACAGCAACCCATCAAGAAAGTCTTGCTCAGCGCAGCGCACTGAAATTATCGTGCATTGACGTTCGAGTTGACTTTCTTATTATTAGCGCTGCAGGAGACACGAGACATCCCCAGTGGCTCAGCTCTCGTACCGGCACTCGGGGATGCCCGCTCAGACCGCACCAGAACCGCGTATGCACGGTCAATCATCGCGGACGTGCCATGCGGAATAGACACTAGACCCTCTCTTCCGCCTAAATAGGTTCAACCTCTAAAGCTAGGGACTGGGTGGAATGCAGAATCAGTGGTAGAACATACTCGTCTATGAACCGGCGCCGGCAACCTAAACCACCAAGATCGCGTCTTGGAAGCTTCACCAGTTCCCTTAACGTAAACAGTGCTCCCCCCTGATTCTGCTCTGAACAACATGCACACAGATCAGCAAGGAGAGTGGGTAGTGGTTACAACGGATATGAGGGAGGAACACAACATGGCATCCAGCCGTAGCTGGAGAGGAAAAATACACCCAACATGCTGTCTGAGCAACAACCAAACCGCGTGTCCGGGACTAGGACTGAGAGGACAGCGGTGCGCTCCATACGCATCCGAGGTAGCAAAAAATTCTCCCTGATCACACACACGAGACAGCAAGACTTCGAATGCTCGGGAAATGGAGTACAGGCAAGGTAGAGGTGTAAAGCGTGACTACATCTCATCATAAGCGTGGTGGCGTGTATGCTACAATGGTCGATCATCTTATCACAACAGGATGAGATGCTCAGTGACGACGCGAGCAATCGCAAGAAAAATGGAACGGTCCAAAAGGTCCCATAAAACATCCCACAACCATCAAAAAATCAGCGGGCAACAAAGTGGACATCTGGCATGCCCGTGACGACGGCACCCGGGTAGCCGAGATCCCAGAAGGATGAGGAATTCATAACAAACAAAAAGAACAGCTGATCAGCACAAGGAAAGACAATTATGCACGCCAGACAATGCTGAAGCGATTGGGTGCTTTGATGCACATGCGAATCGGGGTAAGACAGTGCTATTACAAGAACAAGTAGTCTGGGTTTGTCCATTTATCAAGTGGCCATAAATAGACTGTATCGAGTTCTACGCATACCATAATTATATAGGCCGTTCAAGCGAGACCCCTCCACACGGCAGGTCCAGTTATATATTCAAACACTAACAGAGTGAAAACAAATTGTCCTATGTAATATATAGGATACATAAAATGAAAGTACAATAGATCTATCCAATATGTCTTAGAGACAATACACCACAAAACAAAAATAAGACAGACACAAACAATGAAAAAAAAAATAGTAAAAAAATTGAATAAATACCAATATACATTCGAAGCGAATATTACTCTCACGACAATACGAGGACAAATACGATCAGCAACTTTTACACCTCAGCCAATGATATCATATTAAACTGTCATCGACCAATGTTATGGAAAGTTGAGCGAGTAAATCCTCCCTTCGGCAGGGACGCTTGTTCAAACCAGATACAAATCAAAAAATGAACCGGACAGAAATAAAATGGCGCCGAACTGTCCTGTTCGCGGCGTGGGTTGTTAGGTTACCAAAGGTGGCTTTTTTTGCTTGTCGAATCCTGCCCCGAAAAATTATAGATATTTTTGTACATAAGTCATTCTTGACGTGCTCTCTGGGAGGGACTGACTATCTGGGGGTAAAGCGGCTAAGGCTGTTAAAGTCCATTGCTATGTGACGCTATCGTGCGCGAAACAAAAAAGTACATTCGCGTTCACAGCACCCCCAATCCTGAATCCTCGTGCCAAAGTTTCATCGGTTTTTTGCACATGTTTACCCCCCAAAATCTTGTGCTGACACCCTCACCTCATCGCCACACGTGGCTGCTACAAAAATTCTCAGTAAGAGTTTCATAGCAGGCTCATGATGTTATCACCGTTAACGGAGTTCATCAGCTTGAGCTTGGTCACATCTGCCTGCGGAGACAATCACATACCGAAAGTATAGAATACCTTTTGTTGTTACATTCTCTTTCACCAAAATAGGCTGGCCACCATCCCTATTATCGAATATTATCACACACAGCATGTCTCTCACGGTGGGTCTCCTTAAAAGCACGCAAACGTGAAGATTGGACGCCAAATGCGAACCTAATCGTACCACTACAAGTTATAGCACTTGGTAGGTGTGTTCTGGTGATGATCATCAAAATTTGGACACCCCCAGCCACACACCAACCGTAAGAACCCCGCTGACGCCTCACGCCCTGCTGACACAAATCCCAGGAGGCAACCCAAAACTCACAAAATGACATCAGGAAATCA